GGGGGGGGTCTACAGGGGTTGGATGAAAAGGTCTTCTTGAAAATTGTTGACACTTTCTCTGTCAACGTTAATTTAGCATTCAAGTTAATGTCTTAGACTAGAATGCCAAATCTACTTACATGTAACGTTATGTAGACACCCCCTTCCCACACCGAAATTATGGTGCTCACTTTCCAGTGAAAGCTTTTTCTGACTCATTGTAGCCAATTGGAAGTGACTGGTGCTTAACGTGCATACAGTTCAATACATGGTTTCCTATCATAAAAGTGAGTAGAAGACTGTAGCATCTTTAATTTCCGCAGTTCCTTGTTTCCCCTTCTTAAGTTGAAACATTTGAACTATCACGTGTGAGCCCGTACATACCCCACCCCCTCTCCCAACCCACACTCACACACTCACACACAAATACACGAGGGAAGAATATGAAATAGCCTCCATAGCATGCCAAAAAACAGGGGGTTGGGGGTTTTTTGGGAGGTTTCATGTGCTATTTTCTGATTGCATATAGACAACATAGCCGGCCTGGTTGAATTACCCCCGTTTTTTAAGAACTGGGCTAGTCAGAAAACAGCAGAAGATCACCAAACCCCCAGTTCTATAAGCCTGCTACGGAGGCTAAATATGAAGAGAAAAGGTAAACTGATCTGAACTCTGACACCCCCATCGCCAACGTTTTAAATTAAAAACGTTTTCACAGAAAGAGCCAGACAGAGAGAGAGAGAGAGAGAGAGAGACAGAGAGAGAGAGAGAGAGAGAGAGAGAGTGAGACAGCAACAACACACGAGGGAAGAATATGAAGAGAACAAGTCAACTGATCTGAACTCTGACTCCCCCACCGCCAACGTCCTAAATTAAAAACATTTTCACACAGAGAGAGAGAGAGAGAGAGACAGAGAGACAGAGAGAGAGAGAGAGAAGGTGAGGCAGCAACAACACACGAGGGAAGAATATGAAGAGAAAAAGTCAACTGATCTGAACCCTGACTCCCCCACCGCCAACGTCCTAAATTAAAAACATTTTCACACAGAGAGAGAGAGAGAGAGACGGAGAAAGAGAGAGAGAAGGTGAGACAGCAACAACACACGAGGGAAGAATATGAAGAAAAAAAGTCAACTGATCTGAACTCTGACACCCCCACCGCCAACGTTTTAAATTAAAAACGTTTCACACACACAGAGAGAGAGAGAGAGAGAGAGACGGAGAAAGAGAGAGAGAGAGAGAGGCAGCAACAACACACGAGGGAAGAATATGAAGAGAAAAAGTCAACTGATCTGAACTCTGACACCCCCACCGCCAACGTCCTAAATTAAAAACGTTTCACACATAGAGAGAGAGAGAGAGAAAGTGAGACAGAGACTTACCCCAGACTGAATTGTCTGAGTGCCTTCCTACCAATTCATATCTTCCATACCACCCATGAGACAATGCGAAGAAACAATGCATTTTGATATTTCCCGGGGCAATATATATATGAATGAAAACAGAGAACACAATATGATTTGACATCTTCATTCAGTAGTAAGCTTTGGGCAATGACAGCAAGGATCCTGGAACAGAAGCTCCAGTTTTGTCTTTTCTTCAAGAAGCTGGTTTTATTTATTTCAACGCTGAAACCTGTTGGGGGAATTCAAGAGTCTGGTTCGCAGGCTTTTTGGCTATAAAAAACTTTTATAAGAAGCCGAAAAAGGCCTGACGAGAAGCCTGATGTTCAGGCTACAATTGTCGTCTGATATTTTGAGCTGACCAAGGTTATGGAACATCTTCGAATCCCTCTCGGTCAACCCACGGTCAAGTGCAAAATAATGGGTATGTTCTTTATTTTTCTATGGACAACCATTTAAAATTCTATGATATCTGTAACTCTTTTTTGTGATTGTACGCAAACTTTGTAGCATGTTTTGTACAGTATGTGGGTAAAATTTACGTAAATTGTAAGCGAGAAACAAGAGTTCTTTCATGTCTTTGTTTCCTCTCCTGTCCGCTTCTTCAAATTCAGGAAGCCAGACGGTGACCAAAAACCGCACTGTCTTGTTTTGTGGGGGAAACGGTGTGACAAAGGTAAGAAACGGGTCCCTGAAATCTCAGCCGTGGTTCCATTTGTGTCAGGAACGTGGACGGAAGCACTGTTACTACTCGGCTCTTAATGGTCTGAAGAGGTGATACCTATTCATGTCTCCGCCGCGTGGATACTGACTATGCATGTGCGACGTCACAGCGCACCGGAAGAAACAAAACACGTAGTATTTCTACTCTAGTGAGTGGGGAGGGGGGTATAGAGAGAGAGATCACGAGCGGAAAATTAGCTACCATTACTCTAAGTGATGAATGAGGTATTGCTTGAGGCTAAATGTTCAGGCATCCCTTTTTTGCCTCCCTGAAGGCACAAACTCACTCTGCTAGTGTAAGATTCACCCCCAAAAGATTAGTACCTTCCGAGAAAGAAAGAGCTCTACTCTAACCGTGGTCCCGTGAGATTTGGGGTACATTTCCTGGGCTTCCCCCTTTAAAAATTAATGGCCGTCAAAAAGAGAATAAGACAACGCTGCTGTAGGATTTCGGGGAAACGGCGAGTGTCTATGACTGACGCCTGAAGTGAATGACCTCTCCGTGCGGAATACTCTTGGGTGTAAGATACAAAGCGCTATTTTCCGGCGGAAGCCCGGCAGAAAGACGGGTGAATATATATTGAAATTAACCGTGAAAAGCCATTAGCCATCGCCGATTTGTTTTGATCGGTTTCTTACTCATCGATCACGCTGTGAGCCGCGGCCTGGTTGTTCGTGTCTCTCCGGAAGTGCTCGGGAATCCTCGGGGCTTCCGGACCAGACGTAATTTGGGCCCATTTTTTTTTTCGTCGGCTCGTGCCGAGCTCGGCGATCTGCATATCAAAATGACGCGCCAAAGTGATGTCAGGGTGATGTCATCACAAAGAAATGACTAGATTTTCCGATTCTTGGGGGTATAAAAGTTGCCCACGTTTCTGAACTCGCCATGAATGAGTGTAGGCACGGCAGAGGGAACACCTTCAGTGTAGGGAAGCACGAATATTACTACTACCTCCGAAAACTCTTATGCAACTATGGCCAAGTCCACATTCCGTAAGTACTAACTACTACTGGACCCTTTCCACGTGTTAAGGTTTACCGATTTTTCTTAATGCTTCTTTACTTTTTGAGCTGTTTACGATTTTTTAGGATGTTTAGGAAGGGAATTTTGCTCGTCTTTGGCGATTTTTACGATTTGTGATGATTTTGAAGATTCTCGTACATTTTGTGATTTCTCGTGATTTTGCTTGTTTCGGATGCCGATTTCGTGTATACACAATGTATAACACATTTTTAGAGCAGACGTACTCGGTATTGTTGTTATTTCGGCGTTGTAGCGATTATTTTTACTAGAACACACAACATGTACGAACGTGCCCATTCTTTTTACTATCATTACGAACATTTCCCGAACATTGTCGAGCCGAGCCGAACGCTGTTACCTGCGGTGCTCGGCGCCCGGCCGGCTGTCGTCGCCTGCTTTCGCTCCCCGATTCTAGAAATGTCATTTTCTTAAACCACCGCCGCGCCGCTGAAAGAAAAATCGCAGTCCAACGTCGTGATTTTTTGGCACGAGTAGTAGAAGCCTTGCACGTGTTGGGTGAAACCTGTTCTGTAGCGTGTTACGTGCCACGCGGCTGGCAACCGATCGCGAGCCGGCCTGGTCCCCGGGGTCATGTAGCCATATCCCGCATACCTCCACTTGACGAACGATCGGGGCCGGTTGGCAGACTTGTTTGACGAGCTAGCTAGCCCGGGCGCCGGCTCCTTATCCAGCTAGCACGTAGCGTGCAAACATTCGCCTGGGAACAGCTCTAAAACCTAAAATAGCTTCCCGTCGATCGAGAGTGGATAGAGTTACTGAACCCTGCAGTGGTACAGTTAAAGGCGGCGGAGAGTGTATAGCGTACACGCTCCACCAAGCTCGTACTTAACCGCGCTCTGTCTGATCTAACCCCGTAGATTTCCGAGCGGACAACAGCACACAGCTCGTTGCGTTCGCCTTGCTGCTACTGCTAACAACAATGGCCGGGGTAGGAGACTCCAGCCCGATTCCAGCCACCACAACAAGATCGGCGACCACGGAAAGAAGAACGGCCTGCGAACAACTAGACGAAAATGTCCGCATCGTTCACAGACTGTTTCTTACGACGGAAAAATTCTTTAAACACTTCGTAAGTAGAAGCCTGATTTCTATTTCGAGAAAATTTTATTCGGTATTTCCTGTACAGTACTATTTAGACTTGTGGTAGGGAGAAAGGAATGTAGGTTCTGTCTTAAATTTCCTTTTTTCACCGCGTGCACGTGTTTTCACTGTGTATGGGTGGGCCAAACGACAGAAACATGTGTAGTGTACTACAAGAGCTCAGTGTGTGACTACATAGCTACATAGATTCTCATGTTTGTCGTGGTTTAACATGTGAAAGGCGGTCGAACTTGTAGTCTGTTGACCTCGGCGTTTCTTGACCCGCCCTACTGTTATTTTGTTTGACGTCGTCGGGCAAGAGAGCTAGAATTCCCCTCAGTCATGACCCCATAGGTAAACAAAAATCCCCCCAAATGAGGCCGGTGAACCGGGACAAAACAAAGCTGGCTCGTTTTCAAACCTTTCTGGCGACATGTCAGGCGATTTAAGGTGTTAGTTTTAATCACTTCCGCCGGCTCTTTCCATGCGGTAAGAACATCTGACAGTTTAGAATAATGGGGTATTTTCATGGGCCGGGCCTGTGTGTGTTACTGTGTACGTGTGTGTGGTGGTGCAGGCCAGCCATTGCGTGCTTGTAACCCCTGTTTCACATCTAGTGCGGTTGTTATAACAAGCAGTGACAAGCCCCAACCCTCTATGTACCCAAACCCGCTAACAGCATGGCACCAATTCCACGAAAAACCCGCCAGACCAACTCTACTTGCGGTCTGCCTCGCAGGCCTGGGTTATTTCCACCCAAATTCCGCACACGAGATATTTGAGATACGGTACACTCAAATATAGGCACCAAACCATATCTACAGGAGCAAAATCAATATACAAACACTTGGTGATATAGTTCTTCTGAACTGTTGTAGCCTACTAAAAGGGGTCAAAACCTGCGTAAACATTATTAGTAAATTATCTTAAATGCGTGTTGTCTACACACGCCACTGTGTTCACATGTAATGTCAAGCAGTTTAATAGATGTCAAATGTGACGCAAAAGGTTGTGGCCATCCTGCATTGGCATGTAATTCCAAAATCAACTCAATGTTTAAGTGCAGTACGATATTTTATCTATAGAAGTGGGCATATGATATCAAATTTGTGGTATATTCTCTCTCAATATGCTCACATGCGGTCATGCCTTTGATATTTTTCATGCCGGTGACTCAAAAAAAAAGCACTAGCCGTTGTGTTCACGCTTTCAATGCCAAAGAGCTTTTACTTGCGGACAGTGAAGGATTTAAGATTGTGTTCAAACAGGAATCCTCCTAGAAGTACCTTTTTTCTTGTGGGGAGGTTTAGTCCGGACAATTCTTCAAAAAGACGCCCACATTCTGGATTTCTAACCTCCTTGGTATAATACCAATCCTCCTCCATAGCAGTGGAGCCAGACAATTTCGTATGGGCTTCGCGGGGGGTCTCTGGGTTTGGATTTAATTATTCATGTTTTTCCCGCCAACTGAAAATCTGCAGAGGCTCAAAAAATTTAATCTCGGCCCACAACACGTCTGGCCCAACGTGAGGGGTCATGGACGGGTCCATTTTAACGTGAAGGTTACACTCCACCCATTTTTCTATCTTTTTTTTTTTACTCCCCATTTAACTATAACGCCCAACCCTGTAATTCGTATTCCTATAGCATAGCCAAAAATACGTAGAGAAAAAAAGGATAGTCCAGTTCAAGCAAGCAAAACACACCTCAAAGTTGACATAATTTTTTCCGGCCCCACCTATTTTAAAAATGAGCCCGTCCTACGAGATCTGAATATTGATCGTGTATTGATTTTGGTGTATGCCCATATAAGGCAAGTATCGGCTGGGAAGGAGACAGGAGGAACTATGACAGGCTCCCTCATTTGAATATCGGAAATATTAGTCTAGAAGCAACCTTCCGTTTCTTATAACGTATCTGCAAATAAAAGTTTACGACTGAATTGTAGAAAAGATATACCATACGTAAATCTCTCTCTCTCTCTATATATATATATGTTTGTGTGTGGGGGACTAGGAAATTCTACAATACCTCCTTAAATTTACACACTCAACTGTTATATACTGTTTCCAAAAGCAGCATAATATGGAAATATCGATATACCATTCCTATAACTTAGTATACGCCTCCCCCCTCGTATAAAGATACTATCGCATTACATGCAACCGTATACAGATACTACAGTATTCGCAGATAATTCTGATATATATGACAGTGAAAACTGTATTTGAAATATATCTATTAAGCCTCACAATAACTATTGTGGTTTTATATTAACTCCTTCTAAATCACTTAAAATTGTTTTTAATAATAATTCTAATTCCTATATCATTTCAGACTGTAAAGGATGCTACTGTATGATATATGATTATATCTTGAACAATGATGTAAATAAACCAATAATTCATTCACTCATTCTTTCATTTTTTCTATTTCCCTTCCAGAACGAGCTCAGGTTCGGAAATCCAGAATATTCCAACCGCGACCTGACGCTCCGAGGTCTTCCTGAACTCAGCACGTCCTACACAGACTGGGAAAGTCTAACGGTTAGTAACAAAAACCATCTAAATTTTGAGTTGTAAAGGAATTGTACCAAGGAATTGTACCATCCCGATTTGTGCTAGCCTGGATGCTATGCCTATAGGGGCTGTGGTATAATACGTTTCCTTGGGGGCATGTTGGCTCTAGAGCCGAGGAGCTGGCCTGTGTAGGCCCTAGAAACAGTCTGGCACCCAGGCTAGCATGTTGGCCCTAGAGCTGAGGAGCTGGCCTGTGTAGGCCCTAGAAACAGTCTGGCACCCATTCAAGATTTCACACAGTTCAAACAAGTCGGTTACATAACTTGGTTCAATGAGGTTATTTGGTGTTTCTGGACTGACTGAAAGAGATAGAAATCTCAGAGATCTCAACAGACCATTGTAGTCTTCCTGGTATCTCTACGGTGCTGATTTAAACACATAAAAACGTCCAAAATAAACCATTAGTAGCACATGATGTTTTTTACATATTTCAAATTTTTGTTGTCAATTTTGATAAGGAGCGGCTAAAAACTTTTAAAGATAGGCTATCAAAAAGAAAGGTCCTATGCTCTTGTGACCGGTTAAGTACCCCTTAAGCCATCCTGTGGAGAACGGTAACCCAGGTTATACCGCTATGTAACTACCACCATATCAGCTACACAGTTCAAAACACGATAAACAGCCTATCTACAATGTAAACATATCGATCACGACTTCGCTGACTTAACAGATAATTAAGTGTTTTTGTGATTAGGATGTTTATCAGGTCTATATTTACTTCCACGCGTGGCCCCTTTTCTCTGTCGGAATTTTAATCGGGGGTTTATATAGAAATAGTAACTAACCTACAACAGGAAATATTTCGTAATCTTCTTAATCGAAAGGAAGGTGTTTAAGTAGACTTAAAGGTTTACCTGAAGTAAAAATAGCAGGGAAGAAGCCCAGGTATGTAAGGTATGCAGGACAGGAAGTTAGCTATGGACAAAATAAACTCCGACCGGGAAATTCTTCAGCAAAGTTTGTCTACACTGATAGAAAGACAAGATCATTGTTTGACATTTTCGGATTAGCGTGTCTTTGGGATTCAACTCAAGTTAGCGTCCGCTTCTTAAGCTTTTGTCCTAGACTTTTGGAAGACTTAACGAACCTACAAGAAGTAGTTTAACCCCCTGAATGTACATGCTGTACATTAGTAACCCCCTACGTGAACACTGCAAAGTGTACACACCATAATCACAGTGTTTTGCAATGACGCAAAATTACAAACATTAAGTATTTACCAAGCATGGTCAATGTACTGATAGCACCTATTACGTATCTAGACAGCTATGTGAGAGCATTTTTCCTGCATGTATTCGTGTCAACATCTAGTTTGCGTAGCCAGCATTTCTTTTGGTCTCTTTCTTGGTAGCCCTTTCTTTTGGTAGGAGTCCTTAAAAAGAGCACAATTCTGACGTGCATGCTAGATTGGTGTACAGGAGTTTATAAATAGGCCATTCGGTCTTTTTAGGGGGTCTAGTGACGTAGATACTGACCTATGATTGCTCTTCGACCCGAAAACTGTCATTGTTTAAAACCGGTCAGCCTGGGTTGGTTGTACGTCCGTGCTAATTATAGGTCTTACTGACGAGGGAAGAAGCACGTATAGCAGGTCGTTGTGTTATATCTGTTCAGCGTGCACAGTGTTCCTATTGTCCGCACATACACACCTGTGAAAAATTACCCAAAAGTCGGAGGATAAACAAAGACACTGTGATATATCCAGGACGCGTGTCTAATTTGAAGGAAGATTGAGGAAAATGACATAAAATAGCACAAAATAAGATAGAAGAAGACAGTGACTACAATTTAACCGCACGCAAGTTCTTTGATATGATAAAATTGAAGTTTTCCTTGCCTTGTATCCTCTCTTTTTGCTAACAGAAGCACACAAAAGCCAGCCTAGTCTACTATAACCTGCTTGACATCCCAAAAAGAGCAGTGAGAGATCAGAGCAGGCAACTTGTCAGTCGTGACTATCCATAATCTTACGCCTTGTATGTAGGATTTCACCACCATTGTGTCTAACAGCACTAGGACAAGCCTTACGCTGTCATGTGGCGGTGTGAGAACAATTGTGGCTAGAGGGTGACTGAGTGAACGCTACTGTTCTACTCTTCTTAACACGCGCGGTGGCCGCACTCGAGCGAAAAAAAGGCTTCCAGCGAAAGTCAGCTCAAATAACCCTGGGTACACACTGTTCTGTTTGCTCAACAAGAGAAGCAACTAAGCCGGGCGAGGCAGTTTCTCAAAGGCGCTTCTATGACGGAATATCCAGTTAACTCTAATCACGTTAATGCTACAGAAAATACAACAAATCCGCTCCGCTGTTTGAAGTGTAACCGAAACCTTTAATTATGTCTTGATTTAATATAAGAAACCTCGTTAAAAAGCGTCGGCGAAGCCGTTAGAAGTCGGAGCGAGTCGTCAGGACGGACAATGTCACAATTGATGCTGATTTAAAGCTTTAGGGCTTGACTAGAGCCAACACTGGCTGCCTTATGCTGAACATACACCTTCTGTTGTAGATAATACTGATTCACAACCACTTCCGGATGGCCACAATCGATCATTTGGCCATTTCCTGCCAACACAAGGCTTCCTAAGTCATGACATCCGCATCGAACAACAACCTTCTTTCTTACCAACCTTCCTAAATTGATTGCTTCGTCTAAACTATCTCCAAGCCCAGCATCTCCAAACTCTACCGGTCAACAAAATTACCAAATTGCTTCCTCAAAAATTGCTGCAAAATTTCCTTTGGTGAAAGATCAAAGTGTCAAGGGACAATCACACAACACACCTGGCCACTTGTTCATTGTATGTTGTATTGAACAGATGAGCTTCTATAAAGACCTTTCTTGTATCTTTCTGCCCTCACAGACTAAGTATGATGACCTTTAGGTCATCTAGTTACTTTGCTCAGAAAAAAAAAGAACAGAGATACTGTACAGTCCAAAATCATATCCAGTTGCTAAGTTTGTGGCGTATCTTATTACCTGGATGTCTAACCTTCACCGACATACTATACAGTGTATAAGATATTCGTAATACTACATGTAAATCAAGTATAAGTAGAAGTTTTGCCTTTTCTTGCATAGAAACATGTACTAACGTTACGTAATATTAACGTTAAATCAAGTTTTTAAGTACAAGTTCGGCCTTTTCTTGGATGTAACAGTTTTGCTTCAAACTGTTCATCTAAAAGTGTCTGAACTTGCAGGTACAGGTACAAGTACAAGTTTGCATTTTCTTCCATTGAAACATGCACTAGCGTTACGGCTTAACAGTTGTGCCTCGCAAGGTTCCTCAAAAAGTGTCTAAAAAGATTTTCCGTACAGTTTCAAGTACAAGTTTGGCCTTTCTTGCATAGAAACATGTCCCAGTGTTACGGCTTAACAGTTTTTCGGCCTCTAAAAGCGGCTGAAAAGATTTTTGCCGTGTTTCTTGTGTCTAGACGTCTGGTTCGGTCAGCGGGTTACAATAGCGGAGTCAAGGTCAGACAAACGGAGCGGAGAAAATCCCTTCTTAATAGAGTCAAGATTAAAACCTTAAGCTCAAGAGTTAGAACGGGTCTTAGTACTGTTTTAACAGTATTTAGAAGATTGTGTCGTCTAAAATTAACGGTAAAATACGCGTTCTACAGTAACCAGTTTTGAAGGTCACTCAAAAAGTCTACGCAATATTCTTTTGGTGTGTGTGTGGGGGGGGGGGGTAGTTTTCTTTTGATCATTGTCAGGCCTTTATCAACATACTAGTAGATACGTGATATTTAAAATAAGTATCATCCCACACAAAAATTGAAACTTGTCATGAAAGTTCATCTGTGTTGGTACAAATCATTATGAAATAAAGACTAAGCTTTAACTTCCAACACTTAGATACAGAATTGGGACTTACCCCAAATTTTCGGTTGACTCCATTCCGTGAACAAGGTTGATGGAGTCAACCGAAAATTTGGGGTAAGTCCCAATTCTGTACCTAAGTGTTGGAAGTTAAAGCTTAGTCCTTATTTCATAATTGAAACTTGTGTTTGGTTGACTGTCTCACAGTGTGTGTGTTCAGTGAAAATTGAAGCCAAGGAAGTTCAAGCTAAGTTGGTGAACCTGAAAGACAAAAATGTCGGACTCGCCCACAAAAAGAACATCCGCGGTCAGACCACCGTGTTCGAAATGTCGCACGTCCGTGTGTTCGCGTTTAACCTCCCGGTGAGAACAAACGTCACAAGTCTGGGAGGACGATAGTCTCCAACAGACTTCTCTGCAGGCTGAATAAATAGTAGAAATCGGAATAAAAAGGGGGCATCATTGGCCAGAGGGGTTGGCCGGCTAGAGAGGCTCCATTTGCCTGTCTTTCCTTCGTCCCTCCGCAATTTTATTGTGCAATTTTGCAGTAGTAGGAAAATGGAACTTGCAACTGTTCTCTCCCAGCAGACCAAGTCCCCAGGCATATGCATGCTATCTCTCTCTACTTGGCCGATTTCTGCTCTTTCCAGTCGCCTCCCGAAGCCTGGTAGAGGCTAGGCGGCCATGCCTCTGGCCAATGATATCCCCTTTTTAGGCCGATTTCTACTATTTATTCAGCCCGCAAAGGAGTCTGGCAGAGACTAGACGACGTCCCGCCGCTAGAAGCGAGGTCGGTGCAGAGTTCTGAGCGCTCCGTTCCGGTTTCCATTGTCGGGAACCGCGTCGGGAACTAATGATGTACGGAATGTCCGGTCTGGCCCGACCGCGAGAAGGGGCATTGCCCGTACCCGCCTGCCACCCAGGTAGCCTGGATGCCGGACCAGGGTGGGACACAATACCCCCCCCCCACCTTCGACCGGGGAAGCCACAAGCCTAGCCTGGATGCCAGGCTGTTTCAGGGCCTATACAGGCCAGTTTCTCGGCTCCAGGGCCAACATGCCCGAACTCTGAGAGTCTATGGTAAATTTTCTTTGGGACAGGTTGGCCTTGGAGCCGAGCAGCTAGCCTGTATACTAGCCCTGG